AACTGCACTTGTTCCGCATGCCCATGTGTGCGGGAAAGGAGAGGGAGAGAAGGGGGAGAGCGATGAGCGAGAAGGCCTCGTGGGCGCATAAGTGTGTTTCAGGGCCATAGAGCGTTCTGGATGATGTCTACATGGGCGTTTCCCTTTGCCTTTCGATGTTGGCTGGAGGCTTGAACAACCTTTGTTCGCGTGATGGAGTTTTACTTCTCAGATTCTATGTTTCCCCCTTTTTGTTTGCTTGCTTTCACCGCTGCTTCCACGCGACGATGGCTTGTCTTGTGGCCAGCCCCGTTATTGCGACTTCCTCTTATGGGCAGATTGAGGGCAGTGGTGGGTAGTCCATTTGTGTGTCCTCTATCGACGACGAGAATTCATGCCTGCACTGTAACCGGCGTCTATATTTTTCCATGCCGGTGAAGGGCGCAGATGTGTGTGGTCGTTATTGTTGTTTGCAGCGGAGAAAAGGAGCATCCCGCGTTACTGCACTCTTTTCCTCGCCTTTGCTGCCTTGTCTCTTTAGTGTCGGTAGCTGTTGCTATTTGCGGTGTCTGGCCTGATGCCTCGCCGTGCAGGATGGAGGTGAACAGCACGGTAGTGGAGTGCAAGCGCGAGGACGCGGACGCAGTTGCCTTCCGTTTTCTCATCCTCAACGCCCAGTCGCCCAGCAGTGTTCCCATGTACGTGAAATTGCTGCAGAGGTACCACGTGAGGCACATTGTGCGGGCCTGCGGTCCAACGTACAACACAGAGGTCTTCGAGAAGCATGGCATGGAGGTACACGGCTGGACCTTTGAGGGCGGCGCCACGCCGTCACAGGCTGTCGTTGGCAACTGGCTGGACCTGCTTGAACGGGAGAAGAACAAGTCACCGCCCGAGACGATTGCCGTGCACTGCGTGGCCGGACTTGGCCGAGCGCCCATATTGGTGGCACTGGCACTTGTGGAGTACGGTGGAATGCTGGCGCTTGACGCCGTGGGATATGTGCGGGCGCGGCGCAAGGGTGCCATTAATCAGGTGCAGCTTAACTGGCTGATGGGTTACAGGCCGCGTAATCAGAGAGGGAGCGAGGGGTCGCTGAGGTGCGCGGTAATGTGAGTTTGAGGAGTGCGCTTGGAAACAATGAAGTGGCTGGAATACGAGTGATGATGGGGAAGAGTTCCCTTCTTTTCTCTTGCTCGCTCCGTGCTCTATTTTTATGGGGGGACTGGAGGCAAGAGGAAATTGGGTAAAATGTCTTTCTATTTTTTGTCACGTGGCGGTGTACACACGAATTAAGCCGCCTACACATAAAAAAGGAACACCTTGGCGGGGAGGCGGCGCCGGCATTACCGTGGCGAGGTGGAAGCGCGATGGGCTCATAAACCACGGGGCGTTGGACCCAAACCAACCTATGCTAAGGTTATCCGTAAAGACGTTTTGGAAGGTTGAGGGCCCGTCTATCACTTTTTTCCAGTGAATTATTATTGGTTTGTTTGTTTGTTTTTACGTCAGTTCGGTGAGCCAGGAATAGGTCACAGGTGGGCCTCGGGCAACGGGTAATGTTTTTTTTTTTTTTATCATGGGTTCTTATTTTAACCCCATCTCTGCTGGACTCGCCTCCTTGCGGGTCTTGGTCCGTTAGGGAGGGAAAGAGGCCCAAGAAACCGTTACTCTGTAATTAACACAATGGAATAGATGTTCAAATGGGCGCAAACAATTTGATACATATAATATATATATATTATATTGTTTGTTTTGAGGAGAAGCAACCGTTTGTTGTGTTCGACAGCCAGCGTGGACCGAGTGTTTATTGATTTCCTCCTTGTTTGCCCACTTGCTCGATTGAGCGGTAGTTCTCAAGAAACATGTTCTTG